GCTCCGAGAATGTAAAATGGGACGTCCGGGCAGAACGTCGGACGGGAGCCCCGCCCATATCTGCCTGTCGCTTGGGCGCGCGAAGCACTGTGACAGTCTTTTCGCCAGAAGACGCCTCGGCCAACCATAGAACCTTCGACAGTGCAGCGCCTACCTGCGCACGCTGGATAGATTCAAACATCTTTCCTGCGTCAGCAACGAGACCTTCAAACAAGCGTTTTCGACAACGGCACCTGTAGCAGATGTATGACCAGTCCTCTGACCTCGAATCCAACAGGCGGCCCAGAGCACCAATCAGCTCAGGAACTGCGCCCCTCAGACGCCAGAGTTCCAAACCTTCTGTGAAACGTTTTGCCATGGTGTCGACAGCGCGGCCACTGCATCGCCGTTCACGTGCAGACCGGCCACGACCTGAAAGAAACTACTTTGCGGCAACAGCTGTGGGATTCCGATGAGTATGTTCGGGGGCCCCGGCCTTGGCCGTAGCATTTAGACTTGACGGTGGTGTACATGTGTGGCAGGCGTCGCACTTTAGATCACATTCTCAAGGTTCTGTGCAATCTGACGGGGATGACATCGTTCATAATCTGATTCATATCGTTGTCCGCAGCATTTTGCGACACATTGGATACAGACCAACTTCTGGAATTGAGAAAAAATGGGAAAAGCGACACATCGCACAAATCTTGGGGTACTATCCAGCAAGACTTCTTGTTCTTGTCGTCTTGCATGATCACGTGCCCTGGGGGCGGCTCAAAACAAGAAGTGTATAGGAGATACTGGAGATGCGTAGGCAACCAGTCCGCCCACTGCCTGTGGGCAAGTACGACGTGGCCCGGATCCTGATGAAACTGTCGTCTCAAGCTGGATCTGGCGCGGGCACCGCACCATTGAGAGAGCCACGAACACGCAACATCACAAGTGTCCGCAAATCATCTGGTCCGGCAAAGGTCGTACAGCAGCATCCCATCGGCGAAAAACGAGTCGGGCACCACTGCCATTGGATGCAGCGAGAATGCGGCAAACAGACCAATTTCACACATCACAAAGAGAAACAGACCAAGCCCTGGATGAGGCCCGGTGGTTATCGCGGAAAGTGGACTTCGGCCCCAGGATGACGCGCACTTTCTTGACCATCCACTCCTGGACAGCAGCTGGCTGGTCAGAACAATAAATGCCGTGGTGCAGAGACCGCTGGACCAATTGGTATAATGGCGTGGTAGGGCACCTGGACACGAAGCGCTGACATATGAGAGAGTCCTGCGCGGACCCACGCGCACCTGATCTCCACTAGACCGTTGTCGTGTCTTGGAATTCCTGGTGCGAGTCGTATGGAATCATCTCGAAGGTGAATCAGCAATACTGGTACTTCGATCTTCCAAGATGTGGCAAGCCTCTCCCAGTCAATCTCTGCACGGCGCGTACATATCCATAACAGCATCAATGGCCACATGCTGCCCGAATCGACGTCGATGGGGCCTGCAATTCGGGCAGCCATCAAGAACGAGTACAGCCTGTGAAATGTGAGCTTCCTAAACCATAGATCCTTCAAAACCCGACGGGCATGTCTAAATGGAAGGGGGTGGCTGCGTGAAAGCTTCATCAATCGTGATCGGCGGACCGGAACTGCGATCAGGAATGCCGCGATCAAAGATACCACCAGGGAATCGCTTACCCCGAGGACCACCGACATCAGGAGGTGGCTGTGCACGTGGTATTTTTGATTTGCAGGCGCCCATGCTGATGAGATGTGTCTTGTTATAGTTAGCTACTGGGCGCAACGTCCGGATAACTGACGTCTCTGCGACTTGCATGCGTTTGTGTTGGCCAGTCCGCATGGCCATAAAGTGGTGTCGATAGCGCATATAACCTGCCTCTCTTATCTCACCGTGCCTCCGAAGGACTGCGTGCTCCAACCATCTGTGCACGGGGCCCGCATACTTCGTCGTCTTGCGGCGCTGCTGCGCGAAACCTACATATAGAAAGTCAGATCCAACCCATGAGTCCAGCGTGGCCGTCTGATCAGCTGTACGCGTGATTGCTCCAAACTGCACGGCCATCAAACTCCGAGCCGCATGTCGAAAAATATTGTGCTCTCGTAGCGCAGCTGGAAACCAAATCACATGACGGTGGGGTACGTCTAGCACCGTTCCTACCTGTCTGGCTTGCCGGGAAGTCCGATGAAGCACCAGTCGCAATACGCTCAAGCTGGTCTGCATGTCTGCCCATACGAACTCAACATTAGCTTTCGAACGTAGTAGAGTTTTCACGTCTACAAAAAACCACTCTTCGATCATCGCTGAAAATACGATGTATCTCGCAAACAATCTCCGAGCAAAAGCACTGTTGCTACATACCAGGGCGTCTTCAACTTCTGAATGCCAATGCTTGACCAATGCCGCAGGCGAATTTGCCTCACATTGAGAATGCTCGCGAACTTGACGTAACAGATCATCCGGAGTCTTGCTGCGTTTTGGCATGAAGGGGGATGCGTATACAGGCCGTGAAGAACTGGTACCCTGTCTACGAACAATACTGAGTATGCTGAGAGAAGCGCAACTGCAACCACTGCCAGAGCCGATCACCTGAAACACTGGTTTTCACACGTATGGAGGTGCCGCTCGAGTGTCATGACTCTGAGCGCGGCTTGCTCTTGCAAGGACTCGATGCTACAAACAGCAATGGAAGAACAGATGCTGCAAGCGTGTGGATGACATGGCAAACCAAGGACACAATTAGCGGAAGAGAAGGGGGCGGACCATGTCCACCTCTCTTTCCTCCTCCTCCTCCTCGTCCTCCTCCCCCCTCCTCTTCCTCCTCCTCCTCCTCCTGCTCCTCCTCGTTCCCTTCCCCACTCCCCCATCTTCCTCCTCCTCCTCCTGCTTTTCCTCCTTCTCCTCCTCGTCCTCCCCCCTTCTCCTCCTCGGTCCTTCTCCCTCCTCGTCCTGCTCCCTCCCCCTCCTCCTCCTCCTCCTCCTCCTTCTCCTCATCGATCCTCCTCCTCCTCCTCCACCTCCTCCCTCCTCGTGACCAAGGCCGGATGGAGCGTCCTGCTCCCAGCTCTCCTGGAGGAGCCGCGCCTCTTCGGCCGCGCGCGCCGCCGCGCGTTCCTCGCGGGCGCGCGGGTGGGTGGGTGGGTCGAGGATCAGGGAGGCGGATCGACGAGGAGGAGGAGGAAAGAAAAGGATTGGGAGGAGGAGAATGATGATGATGATGATGATGATGATGATGATGATGATGATGATGATGATGATGATGATGATGACGACGATGAGGAGGAGGAGGAGGAGGAGGAGGAGGAGGAGGAGGAGGAGGAGGAGGAGGAGGAGGAAGGGGAGGAGGGATGAATGCGTCGGACGGGGGCACACTAGCCACCAGTGCTCCAGGAGGGGGAAGGGGACTATAGGATTTTAGGGCATGTGACAATGAACGTCGAGACTGTGGAAACTGAGCGCGCTGCTGTGTCCTGCGCCAAAGGGTCGATTTAGGGGGGGTGAGGGCCTAAATCGGGCCCCGCATGAGCGTCAGACCTTCCCTGGCGGGCTAAAGTCTGCAACGCGCACGTGACGAGACCTGCGCGCAAGAGGAACACGAGCCTCCGCGTCGACAGGCCGCCAGCTCAGCCGTCGTAGTCGAGCACGCCGACGGGGGTTACGGTCCCTCACCGTCAGAAGTAGAGCGACCACTTGCCGAAATCGCAGTAGCAGGGGGCATGGCGGGCCCCCACCGCCTGAGCCAGCCGAGTACAAAACCACGAACTGGTGCACTGCGAAGTGCACGCCTCGCTGCACCTGTGGCTTGGCTAGCTTCGCGATCTGCGGCTGCATCTGCGCGACGGTGATGCCAGCCATCTGGCAAGCGCGGCGCCAGCTGCCGCGTACGGCCTCGATCTCCTTGACCATGCAATCCGAGAGCAGGCCTGGTTCCATCATCTCGTCGATCTCCTGGAAGATGGTCTGGGAGCGCTCGGCGGACTTCGCCATTGCGGCCTGGAGCCACCTGATCTTCTGGATCTCCTTCTTCACAGGGTCCGCGACCTGTGTATTCAGCTCCTGGAAGGTCTTGATCTTCGCGATCTCTGCCTCCTTCGCGGCCTGCGACTCTCGGCGGCGGCCACGGATTCGCCCTTGTTGGACACGGCCTCGATGTCCTCGATATTCTCGTGCGGCTTCTCGCAATCCGCCTCCTCGTGGAAGGTCGCGTCGACGTTCTCAGCGTGCGGCACTTCCACTCAAGATGGCCGGGCATCTCGACGCCCTGCGGCACGATGTCCACCTCGACGGTCTTCTCCTGGTACTCTTCCTGCGGCATCTCCTGAATGTGCTGCTGGCCGTGCTCCTCTGGCTTCCCTACCACTGCCTCCTCCATCTTCCCAAAGGTCATCTCGAGGACGGGGAAGAGGGGGACGCTTGGGAGGCTGTACTGCACCAGCATGCTCTCGTCATCGAGGTCGTCCGCCCACTCCTGACGTACCTTGACTTTCTTCTGATGGAACTCTACCCGCAGCGTCTCCACAGGCGCCTCGAAATGCGCTGCCTGCGGCAGCTTCGCGGCCTGCGTCGCCTCCTCGGTTTTGTCGGCCTCTGCGAATGCCTCGGCCGCCTCCTCGGTCCACCTGATGAGGTCTTCGAGGCCCATCTTCTTGTGCAGGAGACTGTGGAGTTGCCGCAGGTGGAACTTCTCGAACACCACATCCACGTGCCCGTCCAGAAGCATCGGTACTTGCCCATGGGGACGGTGTCTCAGAAGTTCGTGGACGTCCCGCAGGCGGAGATCGTGGACAAAATGGTGGACGTGCCTGTACAGAAGCGGGTGCACGTGCCCATGGTCTGGCAGTCCGGCAAAGACGCTCACGACATCGCGGAGTGCGTCGCAGAGCTGATGGAGAACGCCAGCGCCCTCACCCTCACGGGCGGCCAGGGCTCCTCGCCCGTGTCGCACAAGTCCGAGGCGATGGAGACGAGTACAGTGGGGGGGTAGCAGAGGCAGAGCACGAGACGATGATGGAGAGCGTGTGCCTCGGCGACTACTCCGGCAGCCAGACCACCAAGGCTGCGCGCGGGTCGGGGGTGTTCTTCATCGTGATCAACTCCAACATAGCGACTGCGCAGACGTCGTTGCGGCACGCCGACAGGGTCTACTTCCTGCCCGTCACCGTGGAGTTCGTGACGCAGGTCATCAAGCGTGAGCGTTCCGATGGCATCCTGTGCTCCTGCGGCGGCCAGGCGGCGCTCAACTGCGGCGTTAGGCTGGAGGAGGTGGGCGTGCTGTCCAAGTGCGACGTCAAGGTGCCGGGCGCGCCGATGCAGGCAGTCATCGCGACCGAAGGCCGCGAACTGTTCGCCAAGGCGGTGGATCACTGCGGCTACAAGTTGGCCGGGAGCGCCTGCTGCACGACCGCGGGCGAGGCCGCGGAGGCCGCGGCGAATATAGGCTACCCGGTGCTGGTCCGCGCCGCCTCCGCCCTCGAGGACCTCGGCAGCGGCTTCGCGGCGGACGAGGGCGAGCTGCGGCGCCTGGTGCAGGTGGCCCTGGTGAACAACCCACAGGTCATCGTTGACAAGAGCTTGAAGGGCTGGGAGGAGCTCGAGTACGAGGCCGTGCGCGACGCGAACGACAACTGTATCGCGGTATGCAATCTGGAGAACTTCGATCGGGTGGGCATCCACACAAGCGACTCGATTGTCATCGCCCCCTCGCAGACGCTCACGAACGCCGAGTATTTCCGGCTGCGTGAGTGCGCCTTGAAGGTGGTGCGCCACCTGGGCGTGGTGGGGGAATGCAACATCCGGTACGCGATGGACCCGCGCAGCCATGAGTTCCGCGTCATCGAGGTCAACGCGCGCGTGTTTCGGAGCAGCGCGCTGGCATTGAAGGCCATCGGGTACCCGCTCGCGTGCGTCGCCGCGAAGCTGGCGCTGGGCGGCGACCTGGTGTACCTGCGCAACAGCGTCACCAGGTGCACCGCAGCCTGCTTTGAGCCGAGCTTCGTCTACGTCGTGGCGAAGGTCCCCCGCTGGGACCTGCGCAAGTTCCCGACGGTGGACCTGGAGGGGGGCAGCTGCATGGAGAGCGTGGAAGAGGTAATGTCCATCGGGCGTACGCTCGAGGAGATCATCCACAAGGCGCTCCGCATGGTCGACGAGGCCTGCAAGGGCCTCGATTCCGAGCGCTTCGACCTGGAGCTGGCCCACCGCGGCGAGGAGGGCATCGCGTACTCCGTCATGGCGGAGCTGAGGAGGCCGACGCCGACGCAGGCGTGGACGATCGCGAAGGCCTTCGAGCTGGGCCTGGACGTGGAGAAGATCTACGGCCTGACGCGCATCGACAGCTGGTTCCTGGCGAAGCTCCTGCACGTCCACACCGTCAAGCACGCGCTGCAGTCCGTCGACTTCTCAGGCCTTGCGGCCAACCCGCAGCTGCTGCGGGAGGCCGAGCGGCGCGGCTTTGTGGACCGCCAGATCGCGCCCCTGCTGCGCTTCCAGGAAGGCGTGGGCGCGTATGACAAGCGGGAGTGCAACGGTGGGCCAGTGCATGACCGCCACGTCCGCGCCCTGCGGAAGAGCGCTGGCGTCGTTCCCGCGGCGACGCAGACTGATTTTCTCGCGGCGGAGTTTCCGGCGCACACGGACTACCTCTACCTCGCGTACAACGGCACCGAGAGCGATGTAGACATGGCCGGCCTCTGCCCTCGCAAGGACGCCGAGTCCGAGCACGCGGACGTTCCCATCATGGTGATCGGCTGCGGCTCGTACCGCATCGGCAGCAACGTCGAGCTTGATTGGTGTTCCGTGAATTGCGTCAAGACGCTGCGCGGGCTCGGCAAGCGTGCCATCATCATCGATTGCAACCCAGAGAAAGTGTCAACCGACTAAGACGAGTCGGACCGGCTTACTTCGATGAGTTCAGCCGCGAGTCCGTGCTCGACGTCGCCGAGATGGAGCAATGCGCCGAGTATGGAGCCGCGAGTACCCCGTGGTGGTCACGAGCTCGACGCCGTGGACAAGGACGGTGTGATGTTAAACTATGCCATCGCGGAGCACGTCGAGAACGTGGGTGTGCGCAGCGGTGACGCTTCTCTGCTGCTGCTGCTGGCACAGAAGTTCCTGGTGGAGACACAGCGTCGCGTGAAGCAGATCGGGCAGAAGCTCTCCAGGGAGTTGAAGATAGATATATCTCTGGCCCGTTCAATGTCCAGTTCATCTGCGAGGAGGACAGGGTCCAAGCGGAGGCAGTGACAGAGGCCAAGGCGGACGCAGAGTTCAAGGCGGCAGAAGCGGCAGGTGCTCAGACTGCCTTGGAGGCGGACGCCGAGTCCGAGGTGGAGGCAGAGGCCGACGCTGGCGCGGAGTTCAAGGCAGCGATTGAGGCAGAGGCTCAGGCTTCGGTCAAGAAGGCCGCGGAGGCCGCGGCGAGGGCGCAGGCAGAGGCCGACGCGGACGCCGCAGTCGGTGCAGCAGCTGAGGCAGAGGCCACAGTTGACGCAGAGTTCGAGGCGGCAGCAGCCGCGGAGGCGCAGGTTGCCTTGGAGGCGGAGGCCACAGCCGAGGCGGAGGCAGATGCCGCGGTGAATGCGGAGGCAGAGCCTAAGGGGGATGAAGGGCTCATGGCAGCAGCAGCGGCAGAGGTTCAGCCGGAGGCAGAGGAGGATGCCAAAACGGATGCAGAGGTCAAGGCGGCAGCAGAGGCAGAGCCAGAAACGCTGCAATTCGAGGAGCTCGTGGAGGACCGCCCGGAGGCCCTCGGGATACCCGGGCGTGCGGTTCAGGGGGATCTGGAGAAGGCGCCCTTCCGCTTCCCTGGGCAGCTGAATGCCAACACGGTTCGCCCCTGCATCAACGCTACCAGCCAGGCCACGGCTGCCACGAAGGAGGTGTGTGTGATCAAATCGTCCAGGTTATGCCTACCGCCAGCGACTACGCTTACGAGCCGGAGCTCGTAGGCGGGGTCGTCAAGCACGTGCTCATCGGGGTGCTGCCTGACATGGAGAGAACGCTGCAGAACTTCCCGAACGTTACCGCACTCGGGGGCTCATACTTGGGCGCGGCGAGCCTCGAGGTGGGCGGCCTGCAAGAAATGGCCCACAGCGTTGTGACCCAAGCTAGCCCCATCACCGCCAAGCGGGTGCGATACACCTTCCGGCTAAACGGGATGCAGAGGTGTGCCCGTTCCCCATGCAACCTTGGCGACCCTGAAGAGGCGCCCGAGGCGTTCAGCGGGATGCGGGGGGCAGCTGGCCGAACCGCTACGATGCCCAGCGTGGTTTCCAGGCCCTTGAGGGCGGCCACTGCGACCGTCAGGATTGCTGAGGAGCATCGGCGCGGCCACGGCCTTGTCACTGCCCTGCGGTTGAAGGCGAAGGTCATGGGCTACGGCTCCCGGAAGCTGCGGCAGCGGGCGCCTGAGTACCACGCCCTCGCAGACGAGGACAATAACGGTAACTCCTGCGGCGACGCGTGCGTCTATACGATGGCTCTCGGAGAGAACTTCCAGGCCACGAGCGGGTACGTGCACTGCATCGATGCCCAGGGGCAGGGGAGTCTCTACAGGAGAAATTTCTCGAAGAGCACCCCGGTCTTCACCAGGAGGGCCGTCTCTCTCATAAAGTCGGAGAGCCGGGGTAGCATGGCCTCAGTCATGAGCACAGTCAACCTCGGGCCCCACAGGAACCCGAGGGGGCAGGAGAAGCTGAGATTCAACGCTACCAGCCCGGCCACGGCTACCCCGAAGCAGGTTATGTCTAACGCCAGCGACTACGATCCCGTGCCAGAGACCATCGGCAAAGTCGTCGGGAGCGCGTTCACCTGGGTGCCACTTGACATGGAGAGGATGCTGCAAGCCTCCCCGAGCTCTGCAACCTCGGTGGCCCCGCTCCTGAACACGAAGCGCCTCGAGGTCGAGACCCTCGTTGAGGTGCCGCTGCCCGCCGTCCAGGAGGTCGTCCAGGTGCTCACCGGCATGCATCACCCGCGCCGCCATCACGCGGGGGTGGAGCAGATCGTCGTCATCCACGCCTCCCGCGAGAGCGCGATGATCGTGCACGACCAGAGGAGGCCCCAGAAGGGGAGGATCCAGAAATGCGGCGTGGAGCAGGTGGCGGTGGTGGCAGCGCCAGTGTCCCAGGGGGAGATGATCCAGGTGCCGCCCGTCACCCAGCCGACGAAGGAGCGACCTGTGCACGTCGATGTGATCCAGGGCGTGCTGGTCGAGCAGCGGCTTGAGGAGGCGGCCCCTGCCCCGAGGGCTTCTAGCCCTGGCGATGGCCGCGACAAGCTCGGCTCAGAGGCGTTTGGCACGGTCATGGCTCACCTGGCGGCCCCTAGAGGGCCAGTCGGGGCCTTCAGCGAAAGGCGCATGGCAGCCGGCAAGACCGTCGAGAGGTTCAACGCACTAGACGGGATGCAGAGGGGTGCCCGTCCCCCATTCATGGATTACGGCTCCCGGGGGGCTGCGACAGCGGGCATGGAGCCCTACGCCCTCGTCGACGAAGAGAGGAACGGCAACCTCTACGACAACATGCGCGCCCACACGACGGCGTTGGAAGAGAACTCCCAGGCGAGGAGCCAGTGCGAGTACCACATGGGTGCCGGGGGGCGTCTCTACAAGGGCCGGCTCAGGGCGATGCCGAGGTGCGCAGTGGCGGCGGCCGGGCACATCAGGAGGGCTGTGAGGGCTACGCCAGAGCGAGCTCACTGTGGGGGCGGGCTAGGGTCCGCGGCCCCCAGAGAGAACCGCGGGGGTGGCAGTCGGCGCAAGTGCGCCATGAGCACGGAAGGGTGGCCAGGGCAGCCGGCGAGGGCCGGCCTCGCGGTTGCCAGAGCTCGCGCCTGCCAATCGCTTCAGGGCACACGAGCTGAGAAAAAGAATGAGGGCCGAGTGGAAGTGAGAAGGTCGGGTGAGCCTCTCCCTGCCTCCTCCTCTCTCCTCCCCCGCCAGTTCAGGGTGGCCCGAGTGGCTTGATATATACCTGTATATATCTTGGGTGCGCGATGTGTAATATCCCGTGCGGCCTGAGCGGCCTGGCCGAAGATCAGCACACTGGTTGTTTTCCGAGGCCTCTCGGCCGCGATCCGCATCTGCTCGAGAGGTGTAGGTCGGAGGTGGATACAGCTACTCACGATGGAAAACTTGCTCTGGGGAATCCTGGGATCTGGACGTCGAGTGTTTTTGGCTCTGGGCGTGTCCGCCTGGTTCCAGCCCTCGGAGCCCTGACGGATCGATCTGGTCTTTTTCGTGACGTCGGATTTCAGGGAGGGGGCCGAAACCTCTGGGGATCCACGTCGTGAAAGAATCACGACGTCGGGCGCAGAACATGCTTTTATCATTATTATTTCCGGGCAGCGGTCGTTGCCCTGGGAAGGGAGGGGGGTTGGGTCCCTGGGTAGCGGTGACGGTGGGGTGCGTCGGGGCGGGGGTGTGCTGCGATCGCCATAGAATGCGCGCGAGCACCAGCATGTGGGGCGAGGTTCAAGCCTCCCCCGTACGATCGTTACTGTTACCCCGTGGGGGAGGGAAAGTCTGGCTGGGTAGCGACCGTTACGCGCCAGAGGATAAAAAAAACAATCTCCAAACATCTGATGCCCCATTTTTACCATTTCGGGTAACCTGGAATTCCCGACCCTTTCCACAGGGCCAACTTTATCCGGGTAGCCTGGAAGTCCCGGACCTTTCCCCAGGTCCAGCTTTTCTTCCTGAATCGTTTTTGACGGCCCTGGGGCCTTGTGAGGGTTCTCAAAAGCCGAACGAACGAACGAACGAACTGCCATACGCCGGAGCGCGTGGGCAAAAGACAATGCCAGCCTGAACTCGCCGCTTTGTCGGCTGTCTCATAATTCACAGCGTGCGCGATTGGAGGAGGAGGAGCAGCAGCAGCAGCAGCAGCAGCAGCAGGAGGGGAGGGAGGGGGAGCGAGAAAGGAGGGACGGCATAGTATACATAAGCTCCTGGCTCGACGATGCCAGAGCGCACGGGCTAGAAAGCCTGTTCTGGGTCCGGCCCCAAACTCTCAAAAGCCGAAGCGGTGGCAAAAACAGATGCCTTGTTTTTTCAAGACGTTGGGTGTCCGAGGTGGTCTGGGCTCGAGGACCGACCTGCTTGCTTCTTGTTTCCTGCCTCTCTCTCCGCTGCCGTGCAGCACAGGCTGCCCAGAGCCGGTGGCGCTGACATGTCCGCCAGCGCACGGGTAATTGGGATGCTCTCCCTGGGCACCGAACTCGTCGTCGTGATGCCAGGTCCCGCCAAGTCCGGGTTTCGCGGTGCTGATGTCGAACATTCTCTAGAACGGTTGCGAACGTTTTCAGCAGTCGGGTCCCTGTCGCGAGCCCCAGCCAGAACGCTCAGTAGCTCCCGAACCTGGGCCTGCCAAGGGTGGGAAGGGGGGGATCCGCTCCCACGCGGCTCCCGAACCTGGATCCCCAGGCATCCAACGTTGTGAACTTTCACAACGTGGCCCTCCAGAGGTCTGGACCCATAACCTGGGGCCGCATTTCATCCCTGGACGTGTTGTTGGACAGTCCCAGGGTCAGGCAAGGGCCCTCAGAAGCCGAAAATGGCCGAAAACCTGTCGTCTTGATATTTTTACGGCGCGGAATGTCTGGGCCATCAGTGACCGACCGCCATTGGCTGACCCCTGGTTACTGCGGTGCGCCCCAAGGGGGGCTGTTCGGAGGCCGGGGCAAGCCTGGACCCCCAGACATCCACACATGCGCGGATTCTCACAACGTGGCCCCGAAGAGGTCTGGCCAGAGACACTGGGCGGGGGCGCCGCCGCGGCACAAAATCAGACAAACTATGGATTCGGTGTGCTTCGGGGATTCGGTTTTCTGCTATGTTTGCTGCCGGGGGGGGGGCAGGCACCACGACCACGACCACGACCACGACCACGACGACGACGACGACGACGACGACGACGACGACGACGACGACGACGACGACGACGAGAGCACCGAGGAGGAGCCCGCCGCCGCGAATTCGCCCTGCTGAGCGAGATCGCGGCGGCGGGCTCCTCCTCGGCGGCCCCCCTGGAGGCCGTGGCCCCGGCCGCCGGGGTCGTCGGAGAGCTGCTCGGGGCGAGGGGCTGGGAGCCCTGGGGACGGGTCGAGATCTCCTCCGGGGGGCCCAGGTCGCGAAGAAGAGCGCGACGCCCCAAGAGGGGGAGGACTGTCTCGGGTGTACCCGGCCCCCCTCGCGCTGTGGCAAGACGCTTCGACTCGCTGCACAGGGACCGTCGCAATATGCTTCAGAATGATAAACTGGTCCCAAGGAAGGGGTTGAGACCTCTGGGGTCCACGTTGTGTGGCGTGAGTGGCCCTCTACCACCCAACCCCTGCCTTCAGGGAGCGGGGCCTGGCCAACGGGTGAACACCGCCGCGTGGCCTAGTGTTGGGGGTGATGGATCGCTACGATGCCGAGGTGTTCAGTGCGGAGAACCTGGCGGCGCGCCACCTCCAAGTGAGCGACGAAAAGAAAGGTCTTACGCGAGATGACATGGCGACCTCCTCCACCTCAATGCCTCCCGAGGGAACGGGGGGAGAGGCAGGGGCCATGTTGGAAGGGGAAGAGCAGACGGGGAGAGGACAAGGGCGGAGGATTTGGCGGAGAGGGCGGGAAGAGGGGGAGGGCAGAAGGAAGAGCTGGGAGCAGGAGTGATGCCAGGGGAATGGTCTCTGATTCGACCCTGCGAGGTGGCATAACTGCTACCCAGGGAAAGCAGCGAGTCTTGCCAGAGGCATGCCAGCCACAGGCGTTCGGGTGAACAATTCAGGAGGCAGGCCAGTGAGAAACTAGAGTCCAAGTCTTCGCAACGTGGCAAGACTCAAGCAGCAGGAGCAGGGTGGGACGGTTAACCAAATAGCTGGCTGCTAACTCAAAGAACTGGGGGGGGGAGGATACACACATCAATCAATCAATGCCTCAAATGATATATCTATCGATTTATTCATCTATCTATCCGAATATATATATATGTATTCAACCATATACATATATGTGTATACATATGTATGGACATACTTAGAGAGATACAATGATGCATAAGCCAACCGGTAGGAGTATTTACGCTGTGTGTCTGATTACAAAAAGATGCAAGTATAAGCCTAAAGACATATACACAAACACGTGCATACACATTACATATAGAGGTAACGGGAAACACGTGCCAAATACGTAGGCGTGAGCGCTCGATCGGGAAGGTCCGGTGAGATTCTGACAGAAATTCCAGAAAGTTCAAGCGTGGGAAATACGATGCGGGAAGGGCGGGGCAGAACCTGGCCTGGACGTGGCCAGGGAGAAGGAGAGTGATCATACTCGCTAGGGAAGGGAGGGAGGGAGGCCTGGAGGAGAGACCCCTTCTCCTCCTCCTCCTCCTCCTCCTCCTCCTCCTCCTCCTCCTCCTCCTCCTCCTCCCCCTCCTCCTGCTGAAGAAGTCCGCCTCCACGTGCGTCACTACAGCCATCGTGCCACAATAATTAATGCTGACAAAAACGGAGGAGAGGGGCTTTTCTGGCCACGGCGAGCCTCGGCTTCGAATATGCATCCGACCCAGAAGCCAGACCTATGGAACGGCTCGAAACTTAGAGCCCCTCTTGATCCCCAAAAGTCCTTCCTGCAACGTCAGAACTGTACTCTTCTGTTGTCCATCAATGAGAAAGCCCTCTGCCAATGCCCAATCGGCCACCTGGAATGCCGACTCATGCCGGTTCGTCATGCTCTGGCGGGCGACCGTTGGCGCTCCTCCTCCTCCTCCTCCTCTTCTTCCTCCTCCTCCTCCTCCTTCTCCTCCTCTTCCTCCTCTTCAGCGCAAATCCAATGCTGGCGCCAGATGTGTGGCTCGCGGAGAGGGGCGTCCAGGATCCGACGCTGTCCTCTCAACATCGAAGGGCGGGAGCCGCGACAAGCGCCAGAGAAGCTGGAGCCCCGCGAGCTTAACTTGAGTTTCGTGATCTCTTGGACATGGCGTGCAGGAGGGGAGGGGCAGGAGCTAAAGAGAGGCGAGGGCAGCGAACGAGAAGCCCCCGCCTGCAACCTCGCGACCTCGGCCTCCAGCTCCATCACCCGCACGTCCGCGCCAGAGGGGTTCCGAGCCTCGCGCCAGAGCAGAGGAACGACCACGCGAGCGAGCCTGCGAGCACACTTTTTGTTGCGTCGCGGCCACGCGCGCAGCGGCGCGGCTTAGAAAGTCGGGCAAAAAGACGCGGGCGGCTGGCCCAGATCATGCGGCATGGGGATTTTGGATCCGACCATATGGGGATCGACAGCATCGAACTCGCGAGGGGGCAGTCGCGAGGGGGTGTACGAATCGAAGACAAACGCCCTCCAATATGAGAGGAGCAAACAATGACATGAACATACCCCTTCGGAGGTCGCCACGGGTTTCTGTGGATCGGAGCTGAGGCCCCCTCCCTGGCGTTCGGAGCGCTCCAGGGGCAGTGCTGGAGGCGTCGCCAGGGGCGTCCCAGCGCCGATCTGGGAAATCAGCGGGGACCTCCTTACGTTGATGTTTGTGCAGATTTCTCTTCGTCGACAGATGTCCGATGCTCCCCAGACATCGAACGCCGTGCCTTCTTCACAGCGTGGATCCCCAGAGGTCGGGGCCCCTCCCCCAGGGTCTGTCCTTCCTCCCGACGTGGGCCCCGTAAGGGCCGAACGCGGCCGAACATCTCCCGCCTCGATTCTTCCCTGGCATCCGCCGACGTGTTTTTTTTCGCATGGCTCTCTGAGAGCTTGGAGGGTTTCAAATTAGAAGACGGCAGGAAAGGGTAGCCCCCGAGCTCGTTTCAGCTTCGCTCCAGACGCATCGCAGCGGTTCCTGTGAGATTATGACGTGCCCCGGAAGGCCTTGTCTAGTGTGTGTGTGTGTATATATTCTGAGGAGCTCCCTCCCAAAACTTCCAGAGCCTCTCTAAGGACCTTCGGGAAACTTCTGTCGCCTCGTTATCTGGGTTTTGGACACCATAAGTTCCAATCCGCGGCCCCAAAAATCCCGACCCCTTTCCCGGGGCCAGCTTATCGCCCCGGATCCACTTTTGGTGGCCTCTTGGGCCCGACAGAGGGCCCCAGAGGCCCAGATCGAAGAAAAGCGTCCCGGATTGAAACAATCATACCGCGGAGATCTGGGCTCTTTTCGTGGCTCGAAGACGCCTGCGAGGGCAACCACGACGATGACGGCGACGACGACGAAGGCGACGACGACGACGACGGCGACGACGCGGCGACGGCGACGGCAACGGCAACGGCGACGGCGACGGCGACGGCGACGACGACGACGAGGGCGACGACGACGACGGCGACGGCGACGGCGACGACGGCGACGACGACGATGACGACGACGACGACGACAGCGGCAGCGGCGGCGGAGGCGACGACGACGACGCGCAGAAGCTGTGCTGCCTGCCGCGCCAGCTCCTCGAGCGCCTCCGCCCTGCAGCGCTCGTGCTCCACGAGGCTGTCCACCAGGCTGTTCACCTCGGGCGCGGCATCCCCAAGGGGCAGAGCGGCGATGCCAACTTCGGCGGCGCGCCGAGGGGGAAGTGCTGCTCCAACTTTCGTAATACACAGGAGGGGGTCACAACCCTCCCAGACGAGCCTTTTTAGACCCCCCCGAACCAGCTATGAAAAGACGGCTAGCGGATCCCCCCAAATCAGACCATCCTCCTTTTGTGGTGACATCTGGAATGCGTTTTCTGACGTTCTCGTCAGTTCCCGGAAGTTTTCCAGCCTCAGGGAGCTTTCCAGCAGTTGCGCCTCGCCGTGGGTGTCCCAGGGGCGCCCAGATCCCCCCGAACGGCCGTTGGAGCTTCGAATTACAACCAGAAAACCAAACTCGACAGCGCGCCGAGACAGGAAGGGAAAGGGGGGAGGCCTTTTCAGAAGGCGGTGGGGTTTGTCATAACCCCCCCCCAGCCTTTTGAGAAGACCTCAGTGGCTTCACAAGAGGCCCAGAAATAATTCCTCAGAAGGCCAGTGGCCTTATGAGCCTCCTGAAAAAGTCCGCCCCTTCAACCTTAACCCCTGGGCGCGCCGCCAATAACTTTCTCAATTCAGGCGCGCGCTGTGGCCTGCGGGCTGGTCGCGTGTCGCCCTGCTCTGGTTGGCGAAGGGCTGGGGAAAACTCAGAGCGTCGATGCGTGGAAACCAGGCCGTGGTTCGCCTGTCGCGCCGAAGCGAGGTGGGCCAAAACAAACAAAAAGACACGCGAACCCAACAATCCCGACTGTATGGATTACAAACCCGTGGATCTGGCACGTGGGCGCTGGGGAACGGGCTCCTCCGCAACATGAAGCTGGTGCCGCCCGAATTCGGCGCCGGCTTTTATATGGAAGCCAGGCCCGCCGCTAATCCACGCTAATTAACTTTTGAGGCGGCCCGGGAGTCTGAAGTGGATGGGACCCCAGAAAGTCTGTCAAGAGGGCGGGATGGAGCCAAATCGGGTCAAAATCGGCCCCCATACCCTTACCAAGGTCCATCTGGTGCACTGTTTCGCCACGGATATGTTTCTGACGGTTCCGGGTCCGAAAACAATGGCTGGGGAGCGGAAGAAACCAAAAACAATTTCGAATCCAAAACCTAGAACCTCTACCCCTCCTCCCCCTTCCCTGCTCGCCGGAACCAATGCTGGGCCACCTCAGACCATCCCCAGCCGGCTCCAATGTGTACGTTCGTTTCTTTCTTTAGGAACGGTTTCGCCATAGCGACCCCTCATCATCGCCGGCAGCACGTGCAGCGCGTCTGAAACAAGGTGGATTTAATTCTAGTTCATGGAGGAAGACAACATGCGTACACACTGGGAGAGACCTGTCTCCAGGGCGATCACCTCTGTCTGAAAAGAAGACGCAGCACGCCCCGAAAACTTTGAATTCAAGCTACCTCGACCAAAAGTGCGCTCTTGCCGTGGCTGGTCCGGACAAACCAATGCAGTATCCAACCCACTGCGCCCTTGCCCGCGCGCCAACTGCCGTCTGTCTGCAGCTGGAAAAAAGGACGTCTGGGCCAAATTGTTGCGCAGACGCGCTGTCACGGTAGGCATCCTGCTCGGTATCGAATGCCATGTTCGCTGAATGGTCCGCTGCGACGTTGTATTTCCATTCCCGCCATCGTGCAAGTGATGCAATATCCGTGTAAGCCCTGGCTCCATTCGCGTACAGCTCTGCCTGTTGACGCCCGACTCAAACACATAGTGGTCTGAGGTCATCTGACCGGAGCTTCGCGTTGCCTGTGAAGAGGTCGGCATTCGTCTGGCAACCAACGACAATTCGCAACCGCCGGGTCGTCGGGGTGCAATGCGGGACATGGCATGTTCAGAAATTTACGGGCATCACCTTGCGCGCGCTCTTCCACAGGATAGCGAGCTAGCCCGCCGAGCGAGGTTGGAAGCTGCGGTAGATGCCATAGTTTGCACATGTTGTCAACGAACTCACGCCGACATGAACGCCGCGACGGTCTGTCTGGAAACGTGTCCCTGTGGACCCTCCAACTTTCACCATGGACAAGAACCAGCGGGGCATCCCACGACGAGGTCGTCCTGCCCGGCGTGGAGCGCGCTGGCCCTCGCCCGCGACTTTCTCCTGAAGACGCCGATCAACCGCGTGGCGGCAGGGTTGTATTCCCCCGCCCACTGCTCCGGCGCGTCGCCCAGACCAATGATCGCGTGCTTCTCGTCCCAAACTGCGGCGTGAATTAAACGAAGCACCTGATGATGGACTATTTTGGAAGCGCTACGACCGTTGTATTGCATTCTTCAATCGCCCGGTTTTTGCTGAAACCTCAACGTGCGACGTGCCCGCTGCAATTCCCAAGTTCGAACGCGGCCCAAGCTGCGTTGCGGAGCGCGCCGCGTGCAAGCGCTGGAGATAGTAGGGGGTGCGACTGTCGTTCGCCAAACATGGATTCGAGCTCCAAGATTACCACGTGAATGTAATAACCAGGAGTGCTTGGAATGCGCGGCGTCGGCCTGGCCGAGGCGATGGCCCATGGGCGTGCCAGTGCCTCGCCGTCTATCTAAAGACTCACCTTGTGCTAATATGCGCGGCAACTTCTCGTGAGGTAAGCTGGCCCCGGCAACTGCGATCTGCGACGGCGCCCCTGGGTCCGTCGCGCCTTCGGAGCGCGCGTATTCAAAGGGCAACGGCTTCCACTGATGACCAATGAGGTTGATGGCTTCAGTAAGCTGCGCTGCCATGGTCTGAAATTGAGCGTGTGACGACGAGAAGAGAATGATGTTGACGAGAACATTGTTATTCTAGCGGCTAATGATCTGTGTAACAGTACCTTGGAGTTCACAGCGACGCCAACCGAGCGGAACGGAAACAAACTCGAGCCCGCGAGATCTCGAACCTCGGAGCTCGAAAACGTTAAAACCTTCAACTATCCCAAGCCGAGAGGGTGGCTGTGGGAGGGTGATGAAAGAAGAAAGCCAGGCTTGAGCACAAGTGTTATGGACACGGAAGGGGGTTTATAGAAATCTGGACCTCGACACCTCAAAAACTATGGCACGTCATTCCCGTGCTGCGCACGCCAATGACAAGAACATTGTTGTTCTAACGGCTATATGATCTGTGTAACAGTACCTTGGAGTTCACAGCGACGCCAGGCGAGCGGAACGGAGACAAACTCGAGCCCATGAGATCTCGAACTTCGGAGCTCGACAACGTTAAAACCTTCAGCTCTCCCAAATCTGTCCCAAAGATGGCGTGGGCCAGTTCGCGCGCCTAAGTGCAGCGAGCGAATGGGAGCTGTGGCAGTTGCCGTCACCGTGCGGCAAAGGGCTCGGGGGATCAAGAAGTTCTGAAAAAAAAGGCAAGAAGCACGGGAAACCCCGAGACACCCGAGACTGGCATCGGAGCCCAGAGCAGTCCCGAGACAAGATCCCCGAGCACAGAAACTCCAAAGGCAGGCGGTACTTACTGCCGAAGGCACCTGACGTATTGTCAACACTGAAATCACACCGCTCACGAACTCTCGAGAGACGCCTAGTTTCAGACGTAGCACAGTGAAGATGACTGCCAGAGGAAAGGGGCGGCCATTCTACTGCACGCTCGGAAGATCCAAAACATGTGATCCAAGGCGGCAGGATGCCACCCGCTTTCGGCGATCACACCTAGCACGCGCGAAGGATATCTGACACCAGCGTGTTCACCAAAACCCACGCGAGGCAGGGTGCAAACATCTCACTTTGAAGCCACTATGGCTAGCCGACTTTCCAATATCGTGACAGTGGGGGCCCCGCACGGCTAGCCAACAACTGTGTCTCGAGGGATCGGCAGGGAAACGGGCGCCGCCTTGGCCTCCGAGAGCACGGCCGCGAGACGTTCCTCGCACAGCTTCGCGTGAGCTCTGAACTCCTCGGCGTGCTGCTCCCACGTCTTGCTGAGCAGCGCATGCTTCTCGTACCGCTGCAAACTCTTGTCGGTCTTCCAGCCTCCGCGCCGCTTGATCGCGGCCATATCTCGGGGCCCCTTCATTCTGTCGTGAGAAGCTCCCGAGAGGCGGGCCTGATGCGGGACCACATCGATCCTCGGGCGGCCGACTGCAGCCTTGAAGGGCCGCGCCAGCTCGGGGTAGCTGAACCGCCACAGCGGGCTCCCAGGAGGCCGTTGCTTCAGCGTCTCCACCGGCCCATGCAGCGGCCTCCAGAAACTGTGATCCAGCAGGCAGCTCAGGTCGAACTCGTTCACCTTGTTGGGAAGCCCCCCTCGAACGGATTCAGGGTGACTCCCCAGTGGCCGCGCGCGGAGTTCGGGCGCGCGAGGTCCTCGGGCCTCATCGCCAGCAGGCTCCCAGGGCGGCAGTGCGTGCTCCACATCGCCAGCGCGCTCAGCCCCATCTCCAACTTTCCGTCGTCGACGAGGGCGTTGACTATGGGCACCCAGACACCGCCTTGCCGAACTGTGGCGTCACGTGGAGCACCGACGCGATAACCTGCATTCCCTTTGACAGGGCCTCTCCGCGCAACCAGCTCGTCGAAGTACATCGCCAAGAGCGCGTCCAGCTTGTCGGGATCTATCTCCTGTGCGCGGGCCACTCCAGCCCACTTCGCGAACGCCTTGAGCTCCGTCGCGTAGTGCTTCTCGGTGCGCGTCCGCACCGCGCGCTGCTCCAGCGCGCTCAGGCCGTCGAGCTGAGAGTCGCGCTCCATCAGCTCCTCCAGCCAGCGCTCCAGTCGCCGCCTGCCACGGCGCTCCAGCCTGCGCGAGCGCGCGGGCAGGCCGCCCCCGCCGACGGACTCGCTCGAAGTGGAGTCCGACGGCGCGCTCCGCTTCAGCGCCGAGCCGCCTGTGGCGCGCCTTAGGATGCCGTGCGAGGCCACCGCCTGCTCGACAAGCGACTCGAGCTCGGGCCCCGCGAGGCCAGGCCTGCGCAGCACGCCCCGTCCCCTGCAGTCCTCCGCCAGCTCGCGGGTCGCCTGAGGCTGCCGCCTGGCGCCGGTTGGAGTCAACGTCCGAACCCGCTTGGCCGCCGGCTGTGAG